CACAAAAAACTGAAAATAACAGTATTTCTGTCTTTTTGTCCGCTTTCTCTCAATCTTTGTGGAAGCTTTAATAAAAATGAAACTTGTTAGATTTATACACGTTTCCCATTTGTTCTTTATTATATCATGCATACATATATATATATATATATATATATATATATATATATATATATATATATATATAACTATGAAATCTCCACAAATATCCTTGGATGCCTATAATTTATAACAGAAGCCATTGGTTTATACCAACGGCATCCCATACTTAATACTTCTCGTTTTTCACTCTCGCGTGGTCATATGTGACGTCACGAGCTGCGACGGGATTTTCGCTTCCGCGTCTCGTATATACGAATTTGTCATTACTTGGAAATTTTCATGCAGCAAGGGCGGACTATCATTGTTGTTTCGTCCGTTGTTGTTTGATTTATTGAAATTGTCATCTTTGATAATGGCTTATGTAAGCCGAAAGCTTAGATTGGATTTAAACATGTATCAATATGGTGTTTTCCTTTCGTCTTTCAACGATAATGTGATTAAGCTTATCAGACAATATGAAAGGAACTTACTTAAAATATGTCGGGCTTATTGCAATCCTTGACAAAATATACTATTAGTATAACTTAGATGCTAAAATGATTCCTTTACTCTAAAAGATATACTTTTTGGAAATCTGTTTAAGTTCTTTACACTTTAAGTTCAGTGAAGCTTCGAATAAAACATAAAAGTTACAATGTAATCGTGAGTTAAACTTTCAGAGAAACAGAAAAGTGTGTGTGTATCCATTAACAAAAAAGTCTTCAATAAAAATGTTTACTAACCATTGCTGATCAAAATAAAATTTATCAAGAAACATCTTAAAATGATTGGTTACGATATTCTATCATTGACTGAAGCATCACATTAAATAGATATTTTTTTGACAACAGATAATAGTATATCTTCTTTCATATTTCTGCATTCAATATTTACTTAACACATAATTTCACTGTTTTTGGTAAAGAAATGAAAGCAGAAATGGAATGCACTAGCCAGATATGTTTTGGAAAAATAACATGTGCATCTATCTCGAGTGTGTGTTTTTATATATGTCTATGCGTTAGTGTTTTTTGTATCTTTCTGTGAATTTTTAGCTTAATTTATTGTAAGTTTATGTTGGAGTCATCCAACATTAGACTTCAAATGATGTTGGATGACTCCAAGGATAAAGCAATAAAAGCTTTAAAGCCTACGTTAAAAACAGGGAGAAAGTGGAAGGTCAGAGAGACGATAACAAGTGCTAAAGACAATCTAGCTTTCAATGAAGTCATCGGATACACTCAAGCAGGGAAACAAGGGTTAGGACTAAATGAAAGGCAATGGTGGTCGAAATCTTCTGGTAAAGATCGCCGTGACATGGTCATCCAAAATGTGATGAAAGAAGAAGATAAAAAAAGACTCGTAAAAGGAGTACAACAATCCCAACAAGGCCAATGGACAAACTGAGAGAAGGCTCTTCAGAAATCCATTACGTGGAAGGACATTTGGCAGATGGCTCCACTTAGGTTGAGCTATTTAATACGTTCCACGTATGACCTGCTACCATTTAAGAACAATCTTGTTAAATGGAAGAAAGAGAGTGATCCCACTTGTCCCCTGTGTAAGGAAAAGCCACAAACATTAGAACATGCTCTTAGTTCCTGTAAAACAGCCCTTGTCAATGGCAGATATACATGGAGGCACAATAGTGTTTTGGATGAGCTGGTCAATATTATAAAGAAATATATGAAGTCTGAGTCATCTAATTCAGCCTAGGAATTTGTTGCAGAAGGAAAAAGATATGTCGGCTCTAAGCAAACAAGCAAATGTCATGCTATACCCGGAAAAAATCTCCTTAGTTCTGGTGGCATCTGGTAGGTATCTACAGACTTTCCTGGTTGGCGTAATGATTACCCCAAAATAATATCAAGTAAAGGTCTGCGACCAGATATCCTGGTTGAATTAACAGTATCATATGAATGCCGGATGGAACAAAGCCACGAGTATAAAACTAATAAATATGAAAATCTAAAGTCAGAGCTAATAAAGGAGGGGTATAATGTAATTGTTAGAGCAGTGGAAATTGGAGCAAGGGGTTTCGTTTCAGGCACTCTGTACCAATTTCTGGGCCAAATAGGAATCAAAGGGCGTAATAGGGCCAAGAGTATAAAACGCCTAATAGAAGTAACAGAAAATAGTTCTATGTGGATATGGAATAAACGAAATACTCCGTGGAGTGTTTCAGCGAACATGACGGCATGACATGACTGATCGTGAATGCGTAATGAGGTTCACGTTGCATTCTCAGAACGCGAGGTTTGCCGTTTTTCGGAATTTTCGTAAATTTAATTTCGCCGTTACACATTTGAACTAGTTTATCTACAACACTTGTATATCGTTATAATGGGGCCTCACATCAGTGAGGGAGGCCGGTGTGCAACTGAAACCGTTGAGAGGAAGGCCCCGAAACAGTGCACATTCTCTCCTGATGACACCAGTTTAAAATTCGAGAGGAACACATCAAATTCAGTGAAGTCATATGCCGTAGTGAAGCCCGGTGGAAGTGTCACTGACATGAGGAGCATTACACATTCAGCTCGCTTCAGGTGAGTGTCAATTACTTTCCAGTAATTTCCTTCTATGTTCAGTAATGGTGACTGATATCATATTTCCTCATCACTACTCCAGTCACACTCCTCATCCCAATCCTCCAGTGAAGGTTGCAACTTTATTTGATTTTCGCCGAATTTAAGTCGGGTTAGATTTAATTTGCCTTTTTTTTTCAATTAACACATTCAGCTAAAAACCTTATACTATACGGAATAAATTATTTAAAATGAACATTTGAAAACAATAAGTTGAAATAATAATGTGTTCTTTGAAAAACAGGGCCTACAAGTTGTTTTTTAAACGAGTATTTATAAAATTAAAGGAAGAAATATATTGCCTATTAAGTCTGTCTCCAACTAGACTATTCACGTTAATTTTAATTTATTCTTTTATACTTACTTTACTTTCTTTGTTTTTTTCTTTCTTCTTTATTATGAACAATATCAACGGAATATATTTTGGTCAAAATTTTGAGGTACGGAGTTAAAACAATTTTGGATCCAGCTGTGTTTCTACAGAAGAATGCTGAGAATACTATGGACTGAAGATGTGAGAAATGACGAAGTTTTAGAGAAAAAGGAAACAAAACGTATAGTCTTATATATAGCACTAGGAAGAGACAGTTGAAATTTCTACGTAATATAATGAGGAAAGAGGGCTTGGAAAATTGGGCACTCACAGGAAAGATTTAAGGTAAGAGGGACAGAGGAAAACAATGCATAACCTACCCAGCGAGCTTGAGTAAATTGATGGCGGAACAAGGTTTAGGAGAGATAAAAAAAAGAAAAAAATTTATTAAGAGCTACAAAGGACGGGAAATTTGGAGAGCCATGATCGCCAACGTCCTGAAGGGACACGGAATATAGAAGAAGAAGAAGCTACAGACATATTGATATAACTACGTCTACAAGAAGAGAAGCAACTTTTTTCAATCATTTCATCCTTAGCAAGACGATAAAGCCACTAAGACGCAAGGGGGGGGGCTACTGCATGCGAAATAATCTGAGATAAACGTTATTCAGAAGAGGAAACAATAAAAGGAGACAGAATGTGACGATTTACACTGCGTTTAAATTTTTGAAGAAGATCGTAATTAACAGTCGCAAAAGTGTTTCAGTCACGGTGGAGTATTGGATAGGAGCTCGGATTGAGGAATCTGAGATCCGAGTTCGAATTTCAGTCGAATCCATTACATTCACTTACGTGTTAATACCCTTGGGAAAGGTATGAACTCTCGTCTTCTCCTTCTATGAGTAAATAGCAGGAGAGACCGGGTTCTGTAGCCTTGGATGCCAACTGGTCTACCGCAGAAAGAAATGACAACCTACTGTGGGAAAAAATCTAAAAATGTATCGAAAGATGCATGATCGTTTAAGCGTGTATCACGCATAAATGACTGAAATTTACTTATGTGTTAATACCCTTGGGAAAGGTATGAATCCTCTTCTTCTCCCCCCCCCAGCTACAGACCGGGTTCTATAGCCTTTGATGGCAACTACTCTACCGTAGAAAGTGCGGGAAAAATCTGCCCCATTTGTCATGTATCGAAAGATACATGATCGCCTAAGCATGGCACATAACTGACTGAGTGAGAAGTGAGAAAGAAGAAACTGTTAGCATAGAACTTATGGTTACATGTAGCCATTTGAACTATAAAATGACGAGACCTAGCTGCCAATATAGTACTGCGCTTAAATTTGTGAAGTCGAGATACGAAAGATGACGCATCAGAACACTTACCAGGAATATATTTATAGAAAAGACACAAGAGAATCTAGGTTAGAGTGGTAAGAAAGGGAGTAAAGCCGAGATGCCAGGTCACGACCAATAACATTGCTGATTCTTTTGAAGATTTTGTCAAGAATCTCTAGATATATAGCAGGGGCATTAGACCAATGGCAGACTTATAAAGATGCAAAATAGATTCGGGCGATAAGAATTGTCTAGTACGTCAGAGGGAATCAAATTTTCTGGCAGCAGACATAGCAACGGACAAAGAAGGAGATTATGTTGAAAAATAAATATTTTTGCTTGTTTAATCATTAGGCTACAAGCATGTTCATGTAACGACGTCTATAATAAGAGAAGAAACTGTTTTTCAGAAATTAATAGACGTAGGTGGAACTTTTGGAGAGAAACAATGATTTTAGTTGTTTTGCTTCTTACTTAAAGTCGTTGCTTACTTTTTAGAACTCACCCGCTGTTCTCTGTCTCTATCAGGCATGCAAAAGACATGTATAAAACGGTAAGAAACAAACGAATTAACGGAAACACAACTATGTAGCCAGAAATAATCACAATGAACGATGCAATTACACAAGAGCGAGCAGGTTGCAAATAAGTAGAGACAACGATGGAGCTGAACGCGCATGCATACGTACACGTGCAGTAGCAGACGATACGAGTGCAGGAGTTTCGATTTATCAAAGATTTACACCCTTTTGTCTTTGCGAAATAACATTCTTCTTCGAGTTGGGATTCGCTTTTCCAGATGAACACCTACACTTGAAATTCCCGATGTAAAACCATAATATCTATCTATCTATCTATCTCTGACCATATTTAAATCTAAGTCTATTTATATCTTTCTTTTTATATGTCCATTTCAGTTGGTTCATTATCTATCTATCTATCTATCTATCTATCTATCTATCTATCTATCTATCTAAGTCTAAATATATGTAAGTCTATTTATATCTCTCTCTATATATGTCTATCTCATTCGGTTCGTTATCTATCTATCTATCTATCTATCTATCTATCTATCTATCTATCTATCTATATATCTATCTCTAATTCTGGTCGTTATCTATTTAAATCTAAGTCTATTTATATCTCTCTTTTTCCATGTCGATTTCAGTCGGTTCATTATCTATCTATCTATCTATCTATCTATCTATCTATCTATCTATCTATCTATGCCTTTTATTCTCTCTTTCTTTCTCAATTTGTTCCTTTTTATCTGCCAATCCCTTTCTTTAACCCTCCACTCTTTCTTTCTTTCTTTCTTTCTTTCTTTCTTTCTTTCTTTCTTTCTTTCTTTATCTATCTATCTATCTATCTATCTATCTAAGTTTAAATATATATAAGTCTATTTATATCTATCTCTCTATATGTCTATCTCATTCTGTTCGTTATCTACCTATCTATCTAGCTATCTATGTCTGAACATATTTAAATCTAAGTCTATTTATATCTCTCTTTTTATATGTCTACCTCAGTCGGTTCATTATCTATCTATCTATCTATCTAGTCGGTTCATGAAATCTGTTCTACAAAGTAACAGTCCGAAGGAAGAATCTGTCTTAGAGGCTCTTTCTCCTTATCAGTGTTATACGAAGTGAATAAGGATGAATCGACTCTGTGTACTTGGCTTGGTGGATCCAAGAAGTGAAGGTGTGAACTGGCGAATCAAGGAATGTATTTCACCCAAACATCTGCCAGGGAAATAGTGAGAGGTTTGCAACGTTTCGACTGTAGGAAAAGGGATGCAGGTTGGGGAATAATTCATCACCAACAGCCCAGATATGGCAGCAATACTCCATTTTTGACCTGCTGTATATTTCTTTTGCCAAAAGGGAGCATGACATGAGGTACTTTCTGGAACACGACAAGAAGCCAACCATTTTCCCAGCATCTTTAGCGAAGGATCTCTCTCTCTAAGTGCAATGAGAGGGCGCGACCTCGGGCAGCTGTTCCCTGGGCTGGGCACTTCTCAGTATAATTTTTCTCAGTTGCGACTCTCCTATAACGGTGCCGCCCCTGAGCACCCACTGCCCAAAGGCAGAGACGCAACTGAGTGATGTTAAATAAACGTGCTACAAACTACTCGACATCAATTTACACTGGCTCATGTAAAGATAGAGCTTGGTAGAAGATGTCAGATACTTTTTGGAGCAGTACAAAGATCTGACCATTTTTCCAGCATCTTTAGTGATATATCGCATATATGAGTTCAGCATGAGGTCTGAAGTGAACTGTTTCCAATAGAAGTTCAAAGCAAGGAGCCTCATTGAGAATACAACCATTCATCATGATCGGTGGTTAACTTGGGGTCTTCTTTGTGATGATGAAACATTATATCACTAAAAGGTCATTTAAATGCTTTTGAACTCTGTCAATGCTAAAAAGTGAGGATTGAGCAATTCTAGTTTTTGGTTTGAGCTGACTCTTGTGAAGATAAAGCAAGGTACAAGCTGTCATTCTGACCATTTTTCTAGCTTCTTTTGTGATAAAACATATACGAGTTCCAATTGAAAACTGGGAAGAAATGAGGAAAGAGGTTGTAGGGTGAAGAATACTTCATCACTTATAAGATTGCATAGACACTTTTAAAGTCTGTCAAAGCCGAAAAGATAAGATTGGGTACATTTTGGCATGGTTCAAGGAACCAATCATTTTTCCAGATTCACTAATAGTGGATCATATATATGTGTTTCATTTGAGGTCTGGGGTGAGATGAGTCCCAATAGATGTTCAAGTCAAGGAGCCTCAATGAGATTATAACTGTTTATCATGATTGGAGAAAATTCAGAGTCTACTTTGTGATGATGAAACATTACTAGCTTTGTTTTGGAGGTATTGAATGTTACAAACCAGTTTCTACTCCACTGAGCTGTGAAAGCTCGTTCAGCAGAGTGATTAGCTGCCAAGTTAAGGTCATCTAGATTATTGGTGTTACCCCAATAAACTATGGCATCAGCTATATATATATATATATATATATATATACTAGTGATCAGAGAATGTTCTTTGCCATGGGAACAAAGATTATTGGTGTTACCCCAATAAACTATGGCATCAGCTATATATATATATATATATATATATATATATATATATATATATATATATATATATACTAGTGATCAGAGAATGTTCTTTGCCATGGGAACAAAGTTGTGAGAGACTAGCAATGTTTTATCTATGGAAGAGGAATTGATGGGTAGAAAATAATTCATCATCCAAAAGGCCGCTTAGATGCTTTTGAACTCTGTCAGTGCTCGAAAGTAAAGACAGCACCATTCCTGTTCAGATCACAAGCAAGGCAATAAAGCCACCAAGACGCAAGGGGGGGTACTGAGTGTGAGCAAATATAAGAAAAAGAAAAATATTCAAACGAGCGATCAATAAAAACAGGAATTAAGAATACAGAAGATAACCATTGACATTGCATTTAAAGCTTTGAAAATCAAAGTTGACTAGAAAGCAAAAAAACTGGAAAAGCGTTCCACAAGCGAGAAGTACTAAAGAAGAAGAAACTGTTAGCATAAAACCTACGGTTACATTTAGAGACTTCAACTACGAGGGTCATTCAATAAATAAGGTGAATCTTTCGGACTTCTAATACAGATAGAAGCTTATTTTTTTATTTTTTTTTGTTTTACTTCTTTTTCACATGGATTTAATTTCTTTTGCAGATTAAAAAAAACTTTGAGAGTTTTGGCGATTAACAAAGATGGCCGACCAAGAAGCATGCTCCAGGATTGATCAGCGGTCAGTTATCAAGTTTTTGGTTGCTGAAGGGTGCAAACCAGTTGGAATTCATAGGAGAATGTCAACTGTGTATGGTGACACATGTTTCAGCCAAAAAAATATCTACAAGTGGGCTAAATTGTTTAAAGAAGGACGGAGCAGTGTTGAGGATGAAGACAGGCCTGGGAGGCCTACAGAAGTGAAATCTCCTGAGGTAATCGAATCAGTCAATGACCTCATTCAGTCTGACAGAAGAACTACTGTGAACTGCTGAGGCAGGTCAAGAAAGACATAAAGAACAAACGCGGGGGGTCATCAGTCAGAAGGAGTCATCTTGCATCATGACAACGCAAGGCTTCATACAGCAGCCCAAACGGTGCAGACGATCAACGAGCTAGGCTGGGAAGTGCTCCCTCATCCCCTTTACAGCCCAGACCTTGCCCCTTCAGACGTTCACCTGTTTGGTCCCTTGAAAGCGTTCACGAGAGGCACGAAGTTTAAAAGTTACGATGAAGTCAAAAGTGTCGTGAGCGACTGGCTGAGACATCAGTCCAAAGATTTTTACGCTGAGGGAATACGGAAGCTTGTGCACAGATGGGAAAAGTGTGTGACAATGCTGAGAGACTACGTTGAAAAAAAAAGAAGTAAGCTTCTATCTGTATTAGAAGTCCTTATACCGAAAAATTCACCTTATTTATTGAATGACCCTCGTATAATTTGACGAGAATTTGGCGCCAATCAAGTACTCCGATTGAATTCATGAAGACTAAGCAATTCAATTACCATGAAAATATTTACAGAAATGAACAGAAATAAAAACGAAAGTATGGTTTAAAAAATGTCGTATGACAAGAGGTTGGAAAATATTTAATAAAAATAGAAACAAAATGCCTGGTGAACAACTGGAAGACATCCAGGAATACTTCAGCTTGGAAAAACAGGTAATATTGAATAATGATAATAAAAAAACCCAACTAAAATGATGTATGACAAGAGGTTGGAAAATATTTAATAAAAATAATGTCTGGACAATATGTCAAAATACTTAAACTGTGTAATGAATGTATAAAGTCAGTTATGACGTAAGCATGAAACGTGGAAATTGACTAAATCGTTCCAGAAACTTAAAAATAGAAAGAACAATAATAGCGTTAGAAAGAAAACATTTTGTATCAAGAGACGGACCAAGATACATTTATCCCGATCACGAACACGTGACCCGTAATTCCTGAGGGTCATAGTCAACGCAGTGATTTCTCTTGGGTAAGATAACCTGACAGAGCTTAGACCTCTCTAGGCTGGATTTTTTTCTTCTCCTAGACTGATGGTTAACCAAAACTCTAGAGGCCTGTCTGTCCTGCTAACTATCCATAGCTAATGGGGTGAGGAAGAAATGGACTCAGATCTTTCCTAAGGGTATTTGTACGTAAGTAAATGCATTGAACTCGACTTAAATAATTCGGATGTCTATTTTTTCAGATGTCAGTAAATGGGTCAGGTCTCTCTATCAGACATAAGTCCATTTCTACGAACATCGCAACATGTCTACTATGAAAAGGTACTGAGAGGATTTGGGGGGGGGGAGAGAAGGAAAAAAGAGGACGTCAAGTCTCTTATCCACTGGGCCATGTGTCCCAGTAAATAAATGCGTCGGTTGGATCCAGTGATTTGACCCAAAGAGTTGTGAGTTAATTACCTGGCTACTGCAGTGGTGGGGAAAAAAAACTTAGACAGTTGAGTAAGAGGGAGATAACTGGTGTCCCCGGAAGAGGCATGGCACGTGGAACTAGAACCATCTACCCCGGTGGACGAAATAAGGGCTTCAGTTCGAAATTTCAGTCACCTGAAGAAGGCCGGAGCGTAAAACAGTTGAAACGTCATGGATATGGCAATAAAGATATGTAAATAACTCTTATCCCGAGTACTTATTCCGGTGTGAAATTTGAAAGAAATTTACAATTATTAAATGACATAATAATAATAATAATAATAATAATAATAATAATAATAACAACAATACAGAATTAACTCTGAATTGGTTAAGCATCTCATATCACAGGGTCCTCATTAAGACAAGGCATATGGCTTTCGCTTCTCTAGGGCAACTGCTGATATCCTAACGATTATTGTTGAAAGAGTCTATTGAACTTTAAATAAGACTGGAGCGGCTCGGGCTTTTTCTTTGGACATCTCGAAAGCGTTTGACAGGGTTTGGTATACTTGGTTTCTACATAAGGTGAAAGGTTATGGTATTTAGGGACGAATTTCTGAACTGTTTCCTTCTTTTTTTCTCAAATCGTGAAATGAAAATCGTCCTTAACGGTAACTGTTCTAGATCTTTTTGTATTAATATAGGTGTGCCCCCCCATCCCAGGGATCTATACTTGGACTTATTCTGTTCTTAATGTTCATCAATAACCTTACAGATGAAATTAGTACTCTGATAACGCAACCATTTACACCTGTTTCGATTGTAAGTTTGATCTGTTCGATAAGGAAAAATTGTCGGTTGTTAACTGGGGCAAGAAATGGCTTGTTAATTTTAACGTCTCCAAAACGAAACATGTCACTATAAATCAAATGAAAGACCTTTTCCTGTCTCTCATCAGTATGGCTAATACTAACCTTCGTAGGAGTGACTCGTTGCCCCTCGGGTTAAAATTTGCGGCTGACATGAAGTGAAAAGGTTATATTGAATCCATTGCTAGTTCTGCTGCTAAGAACGTTGATTTGCTGTGTTGCGTTAGACAGTTTTTCTCTCCTGAATCTATCTTACATTTTGAATATATCTTATCTACGTTTAGAGTTCGTCCATGCCTTGAATATTGTCGCCATATATGGTCCGGTGTTCCTGCTGTATATTTAGAGATCCTTGACAAAATCTAAAGACGATTCATCAATATCAATTGTCATCCACTACCCACTTCATTACTCTTCTTTTGTTCTCGCTTCTAAGTAATGTTTCTCTTTTTCTTATTCTTTCACACTCACTGTCTTAGTGTCTTAGTGGCCTTACTTCCTAGCATGGGGTGAAATGATTAAAAACATTTACAAATCAGTATTGCATAAAATTTTCCTTTGTGCATCAAACAATTAGGCAAGATAACAATTTCTAAATACAATTCTGTTAGGCTCAAAAAATCAATTATAATTATTATCGACCAAATGTTCAGTTCCTTTGATACATTCGACTTTTGAGAGGAGCTGAGAAGGATGGTAGTTCACAGGCGTCGTTGCGTTTCTGGTATGTTTTCATATTAGACAATAGTTCAGTCACTATTTCCCCCTTACTAAACTATCTTCACCCCTTTTTTTATGTATCTCAGCCTTTCCTTATTTATCTCTATTCAGTTTATATCTTCCCTCTCTAGGTCTCCACCCTCTGTCACACTATGGATCTCATTCTATTCATTATCTATCTATCTATCTATCTCCACTATTTCTCCCCTAATCTCTTTCTCTCTATCTCCACCTTCTCGCTCTCTCTCTCTCTATCTATGTCTGTTTATATCTATCTATCTATCTATCTATCTATCTATCTATCTATCTATCTATCTATCTATCTATACTATTTTTCCCCTAATCTCTTTCTCTCACTATCTCCACCCCTCTCTATCTCCACCTTCTCTCTCTCTCTCGATCTGTCTGTTCATTAATCTATCTATCTATCTATCTATCTATCTATCTATCTATCTATCTATCTATCTATCTATCTATCTTTACTATTTCTCCCCTAATCTCTTTCCCTCTCTATCTCCACCTTCTCTCTCTCTCTCTCTCGATATGTCTGTTCATTAATCTATCTATCTATCTATCTATCTATCTATCTATCTATCTATCTATCTATCTATCTATCTTAGTCTGTTTATATCTATCTATCTATCTATCTATCTATCTATCTATCTATCTATCTATCTTTACTATTTCTCCCCAATCTCTTTCTCTCACTATCTCCACCCCTCTCTATCTCCACCTTCTCTCTCTCTCTCGATATGTCTGTTCATTAATCTATCTATCTATCTATCTATCTATCTATCTTAGTCTATTTATATCTATCTATCTATCTATCTATCTATCTATCTATCTATCTATCTATCTATCTATCTATCACAATTTATCCAGATCTTTCTTAGTCTGTTCGTATTTATCTCTATAAATTGATTAATTTCTGTATATTTATCCTTATCTATGTCTCCTCGTCAAAAGAAAATTATTCAGATGAATATTTATGATAACCGGTGACCTCCATTTCAGAGAGCGAGTGTGCCTGTGTATTAATTACTTAAACAGGATTTTATAAGTAACTTTCTCTCCACTTTCCTTGATTTCCCTCAGGATCTCATTTTGGTTTCTTTAGTTGCCTTTTACTGGTAAAAGGCAACTAAAGAAACCAAAATGAGATCCTGAGGGACATTTTTATTTTTCCTTGGCTCTCAGCATAATCCATTTCCTGTGGTTTATTCACTTGAAAAGCAACAAGCAAATCGTTGCGGTCATCCACATTTGAGGTTGTGACCGATGGACAAATACAATCAAAAACCTTAAATTAGTTCTTAACTAATTAGGTATTAATTAGGCATTTACTGTAAAGGCCGGTATTAATTATAAAAATAAATTCAAAATTTGGTATTAATCATTTGTTTATAAAGAATCCGCAAAATAGAAGGGTGTACCTTCGTCGTCGTCTCCGCCTCCATCTACTCCTCCTCGTCCTCCGCCTTCTTCATTTTTTCTTTTTGTTCTTCTTCTAATCTTTTCTCCGCCTCATTATTTTCCTCCTCCTCTTCCTCCTCTTTATCATTGTTGTTGTTGTTCTTCTAATCTTTTCTCTTCCTCATCCTCTTCCTCCTCCACCTCCTCTTCCTACTCCTCTTTCTCCAAGACGATAAACTACACCCAACAGCAAGGCCTCTGATCAGGTTTCGATCAGTGTGGAACCACCTCTTAATTGCTGGTGTTCCCAGGTCCACCCTGAGCCGGGGTGGTAGCACCTGTTAAGGCCCCAGCTATACTATGAAAGTGTACAAATAGGTTTAAATACCTCCAAAATATATTTTTGTAAAAGATTATTACCAGCGATTAATTTTTGAAGAAAAAATTATTACCAACAATACATTTTTGAAAAAAAAAATTAGCTGCAATACATTTTTCTAAAAAAATATTAGCAGCAATAGATTTTTGGAAAAAATATTACTCGTAATAAAAATCTTTTCGGCATTAAATAACCCATAGAATATGACGATATACTACGTCCAACAGCAAGGACTCTGATAATATGTTTTTGAAAAAATAATGTTGCCAGCTATACGTTTTTGGAAAAATAATATTACCAGCTATACATTTTTGAGGGAAAAATATTGACAGAAATAGATTTTTGACAAAGCAAAAATATTACCAGGAAAAAAAAGTTGTCGGCATTAAATGACCCATTGATGTTGTTATGCCATAAAACAAAACAAACCACTCCAGACCAATACTGTGTCATCTGCATATAACACACACACACACACACACATCATAATCATCATCATCTTGCGGCCTCAGCCGAGATTGAACTCACTAATACTTTGATTGGTGTAGTTCATAATCTTGTCAATAGCTGAATTATTGATGCTTCGCTAGGGCTATCAAGGGTGTTTTTATCGTGACACCATCACTAAATGGATTGCCAACCAAGGCTCAGAGAGACTACATTCAACCTACTCTAAGAGCAGGTTTTGAATTCAGAGTTTTCCTTCTCCTAGACCAGTTGCCATCCAAGGCTATAGAACCCAGTCTGTCCTGCTATTTACCCACAGCTGGAGGGAGAAGAAAGAGGATTCACACCTTTCCCAAGGGTGTTAGCACGTAAGTGAATGTAATGGATTCGACTGGAATTCGAACTCGGCGCTCCGATTCCTCAATCCAAGCCCCTATCCATTACTCCACCGTGCCTCTCTCTCTCTCTCTCTCTCTCTCTCTCTCTCTCTCTCTCTCTCTCTCTCTCTCACACACACACACACACACACACACTGTGGGGTAATAATTAATCAAATAGATTATTACGCTACTACTCCCTCCTGCTGGTTTTCTCAATGTGGTGGGTCGCAGCCCCCTTTCTGCAAATGTGTGTAGCGGGAGTGTAGTTGAGAATTTAAAAAACAAATTCTAGATTTATTTGCTGATTACCGTAATGTTTCAAATTAAATAAATAGAAAACAAATAGAAATGAAACTTTGCAATTGCGCATTTAAAAATGGAAAAGAATCCGCAAATTTAAAACCGAATAATAACCAAACCAAAAAAAAATCCGTTATCTTAAAATAATGACACAATATTTCCGATTTTTAATTTTAATAGAACGTAATCCGAAATCCCTTTAAACTGAAACAAAGCGTGTAAAAAAAAAACATGTCACTAAAAGCAGAAGAGAAATTTATGGAACTTTCAAGTAAGACAACACGCAGGCTTGAATTTTTCGAGAGAAAAAAAATTAAATGCTTTTTGTTTTGTTTGTTGAGATTGCTAGGTAACCTTGACATATTTGGGAATGATATTAGAAAAATCAAGAAGCTATACTAGGAGTAAACTGCTCGCATACAGATAGTAAATAAATTAAGTAAATATACCAAAATAGAAAGGAGTCTAAGGGTTATAGTGGAACACACCTATTCTATAGTTAATAGACTCTCCCACCTATAATAAGTAGGAGTAGTAAGAGTAACGAAAAGTCGCTCAGTGAGTTGCTCAGTCAGTCGTTGCCGGACGACCGTTAGTCGGATACTAAAAGTATCAGAGACCCCAACTAGATTTCTCTGCGTCATTACCTATTATATCAAGTTCCTAACATTTTGTACGTCGAACCTATTTTAGGACCGACTTAGTACAAATACAAGCCTCCACTGTGAAACCACTCCATAACAGTAAAACAAGGATGTGTCTTCTCGCCAGACTTATTCAACCTTTACAGTGAAGTGATACTAAGATGATTAAAAATCCTGCCAGGATTCATTGCTGGCAGCCACAATCTTAACAATATAAGACATGAAAATGACACAGTGTTGATAGCAGACATAGAAAGGAAACTAGAGAAACTGCTACAGAAAGCAGTGAAGGAAAGCGAGAAGAAAGGACTAAACATCAATTTCAAGAAGAAAGAATATATGGTTGTTAGCAAAATGAAAAGTCCAACAAATTACAAATTGGAGATACCAAAATCAAACAAAGTGCAATAATGGAAATATGAGGGAAGTATTTTAAACGAAGACAGAAAGTGTGACACTGAAATCCGAAAGGAGATTGGGATAACAGAAGATCTTTTCTAAAAGTTAAGCAGTGCATTAAAAAAATAGAAAGATTTCGTTAGAATCAAAGAAAAGAACAGTGAACTGTAATGTAATATCAATGCTCCCATATGTCAGTGATTTCTGGATAATCCCCCACAGACAAAGAGGATTGAAGCAACAGAAACAAAGGAATGAGCACTGAACTGTTATGTAATATCGTTCTTCCTATATGGCTAAGAATGCTGAACAATATCCTTACAGGTGAAGAAGAGACTTGAAGCAACAGAAATGTGGTTCTACAGAAGGATGCTGAGAATATCATGGACTGAACATGAACTACGACAAAGTTTTAGAAAAAATGGAAACAAAAAGGATACTTATTTAATATCAGGAGCAGACATTTGACATTTTTGGGACACACAATGAGGAAAAAGAGCTTGGAAAATGTGATACTCGCAGGGCTGAGTGAAGAAAAGAGGCAAAGAGGAAAACAACGCACAACATACTTGGTAAGCTTGAGTAAATGGATGGAGGAAGAGGGTTTAGAAGAAATAACAATAAGACAAAATTTATTAAGCGACACAAAGGACAGGATATTGGGGAGAGTCATAATCGCTAACGTCCTGAAGGGACACTACGAAAAAGAAGTTCTTGCTGAATTTCCAATGTTTTCTGAATTCGAGATTGATAGAAATCAATTAATCAATTAATTCCAGTCAGCGTCGAAAATACTGATTGGCACAAATACATTATTTATATTATTCGGACTATTGTTCTCATCTTTGTCGCCTTATTTATTACAACGTTTCGGCCGTTGTACGCTCTTGCCTTCTTCAGGTGCTTGGAATGTCAAACTGAACCTTTTATTTCGCTCACATTTAAAATGTTTTAATAAATGTATATTTAAAAATTGACAAATGTTCGTTTTTATTTTTTTATTTAAAGAATCACTAATTTTGGCACAGTTTTGCCCGAGGGAGAAAAAACAAATCATATTTAATATTTTTTATATTAACGCCAATTTTGAATTTGATTTTTCTTCGGAGGAAACGTGGATTTTTGAGATTATTTCTCTATGCTTTTAAGAATAGTTTTTACATATGTTTCTTTTAATTTTTTCATGCAAAACTTTTTCGTATATTTTATATTTACAATATTATTATTTTTTTGTTTAATATATGAGGTCTGATTAAAAAGCATCGCTGCTATAGTAACGGAGCAATAAGGTATAACGTTCTACTTGGCTTCCGTTGTTTATAGCAGTGATCGGAAGGAAAGTGTGTAGAGTGTGATCGTTTCATTACACCTCAGAATATCCATCAGTGACCATGGCTTGTGCAGCAGTTTTTGGCCAAAGAGTATATTCTGTAGGACCGACAACCACCATATTCTCAAGATATCGTCCCATGCCATTTTCCCCTTCAAAAATCAAATCCCACTTGAAAGGAATAAAATTTCAAGACGTCCAGGAAATCCAAGTGAATGCGACATGCTACTGGTATTCTCAAGCGGTCACCCATCTAGGTACTGACCAGGCTCGACGTTGCTTAACTCCGGTAATCGTACTAGAACCGTTGTTACAACGTAATATGACCATAAACCCATTTAAACAACAGCACATGCATGCTTACAGCACCTGGTATTCTCAAGCGGTCACCCATCTAGGTACTGAACAGACTCGACGTTGCTTAACTCCGGTAATCGTACTAGAACCGGTGTTACAACGTGATATGACCGTAATACCTTTTAAACAACAGCACATCCAAGCTCACGGCAACTGGTATTCTCAATGTTATACCGGGACATACCTATTCTATTATTAATAGATTCTCCCACATATAATAAGTAGTAGTAGTATCAGTCGCCAGGGTCCTCAGAGTGAGTTGGTGAGTCAGTCGATGTCAGACATTAAAGTATCAACCACCACGACTAGATTGCTGCGTCATTAACTATTATTTCAAGTTCCTAACGTTTTGTACGTCGAACCTCTTTTAGGACCGACTTAGTGAAATACAAGCCTCCACTGTGAAAACTACTCTACAACACTCAAGCGGTCACCCATCTAGGTAATGAACAGGCTCGACGTTGCTTAGCTCCGGTAATCGTACTAGAACCGATGTTACAGCGTGAAATGACCGTAAGCCCATTTAAACAACAGCACATCCAAACTTACAGCACCTGGTATTCCCAAGCGGTCACCCATCTAGGTACTGACCAGGCCCGACGTTGCTTAACTCCGGTAATCGTACTAGAACCGGTGTTACAACATGATATTATCGTAAAATCTTTTAAACAACAGCACATCCAAGCTCACAGCACCTGGTATTCCCAAGCGGTCACTATCTAAGTACTGACCAGGCTCGACGTTGCTTAACTGCAGTCAGCGTGCGGGAACCGGTGTTACAACGTGATATGACCGTAAAGCTGAACTGAATCTACACAAGACCAGAAATGAAAAGAATATGAATTACTGCTTTTGTAATTTAATCCGACTGAAAAGTACCGGATCATAAGTTACCAGAAGCTTAGGTTTTTACGCCAGCAATAAGTCTTTAGAAATAAATGGAGTTATTATATTGCATAATGTAAAGGTGTTCCTAACGGTCTATATGTAGATATGCATTGAAAATCACAAATAAAAGGATTTTCAGTGCGTTGAAATGACTACATGTGTTATTGAGGGCATAAAGAGATTTGATGGAGCTGAAAACTATCAGGCTAATGATTTTACTCAAGAAGGAATCTCTGTCGATTGGAATTAATATAAGCGCGTCTGACAGTTAAAATTTTGAAATGCGTAATGAGGAAAGCGTGCTAAGAGAATTTGACACTCACAGGGAATAGGAAAGGTATGGGAAGCAAGGGGGAGGCAGGGACTCACCTACTAAATGAGTATGAGTGAATGGATGACAAAACAAGGTCAAAGAAGTTACAAGAAACGACAGAAAGATGTGGCGAGCCATTATCACACAGATCTATCTATCTATCTATCTATCTATCTATCTATCTATCTATCTATCTCGTTCAATTCATTATCTATCTATCTCTATATATCTATCTCATTCTGTTCAGTATGTATGTATGTATGTATGTATCTCATTCTATTCAGTATGTATGTATGTATTTATGCATGTATGTATGTATCTATCTAGCTATCTCATTCTGTTCATTATCTATCTATCTATCTATCTATCTATCTATCTATCTATCTATCTATCTCATTCAGTTCATTATCTATCTATCTATCTATCTATCTATCTATCTATCTATCTATCTATCTATCTATCTATGCTCTAAAAAGAGTACTGAACTGTTATATAATATGAGTCCTCCTATATGGTAGTGAATGCATGGCCATTTCCTGACAGGTGAAGAAGACACTTGAGGCAATAGAAACGTGGTTTCACAGAAAATACCATGGACTGAACATGTGAGCAACGGCGAAGTTTTAGTGACATTAGAAGCAAAAAGATCGCTTATATGTAACACCAGGAAGATGCAACTAAAATGACTATGGCACATAATAATGAAGGAGGGTTTGGTAAGTTTAATACTCACAGGACTCATTTAAGGCAATAGGGTCATCAGAGGAAAACATAGCATAATCTACCTAACGTGCTAGTGTAAGAGGATGCTAGAACAGGGCTTAGTAGAGATAAGAAAAAAGACGAAATTTATTAAGATTTACAAAGTGCAGGAATTGTGGAGAGCCATGATTGCCAACGTTCTTGAGGGACATGGCACATTGAAGAAGAACCTAAATGGAATTTCAATAATAACAGCCCGAAGTGAAGAAAAAATCAATCATCTCCTGTGTCGGTTGAGTGATGTTAAAAACCCAAGTTTAAATGAAAAATTAACTTCTCAATCAAATTCAAGTTTTACCCGTGTATGATCTCACATTAAGATATTTAAATTATAAAGAAATATATTAATACACAAGAAGACTAAAACTGCCGATTTTGTTCTCGGCTTCTTCATAGGAAACTAACAACAAAACTACTCAAAGAAGCAGACGATCTTAAAATTACTGGATAACAACCATAATACAATGTTCACAGATAAATATTTATTTTAACAAATCAAAAATTACATGCATATTGTTCCATATGCTAAGTGGGTAACAAACAAAAATAAATAAAAGGTTTTTTACTTACGTAAATAATGTCAGTTTAAAGTATCATTCTATAAACCGACAACTCAAATCTCTTTTTTCTTTTTCAACCTTTTCTTTACAATAAACAAATCTTGTTATAACATTTTTTAACAGTCAATTCAATTTCTTCAGATTCTTTTATGTTCTTTCTTTTTCTTCTTTTGAAATTCTTTTTCACTTCCTCTGGAGCTGAAAGTGTAAATTATAAAACACAAAGCCTAACCTAGTCTAGGCTCTTAAAATCTTATTCCATGAAGAATATCCTTTAAAATATTTTAATTTTAAATCTTATTTTAAAGTCAAGAATGTGAATAGGGGCAGAATTCCCCGCATCGAAAGACTCCGCCAAACATAAAGAAACGTTGACTCTCCGAGTCAACAAACAAATAAATCAAATGAAATAATCCCCCTTCTAGGGAATTAAATTACTTCTTTTAGCTTCGGAATTCTACCGAAGCTAACAAAAACTTTTCTTCAAAGTTTCACACATTTAAACAAATCTCAGCTACGGAATTCTACCGAAGCTAATAAAATTTTTCCACAAAGCCCTTCGATGCGAAAACTCACCCTCCCCTAAATAAAACCAGTAATATAGCTATTAAAAGCTAAATAAATATTAACTCTATAAAAGGTAAATAATTCGATATTGTAAGTTGAATTATTAAAGGTAACACTTTATTTTACGTGGCTAACTAAATCAGTTAACCACGGAGCCAGAATAAAAAAACGTCTTAAACGACCGAGGATAAATATCTGACTGAGGATAAAATCCTCTGATAAAAAGGAGTCGTCTGCAGCTTCCAATTTCATGAAAAAGAGCGGCAACAAAAATTATCGTCTGTTTTGCCATCAGACGCGTATTATACAAAATATCAATACATCATAATATTTTACCACTGAAGTCATTGAAAAGATGTCTTATCACTCTCTCTCTCTATATATATTAATATTCTAAATTTCTGTAAATAAAAATTTTCCAAAGTCCGAAAAAAATGAAAACATGGCTTTTATTTTGAGGGAGCAAGACAACTCCTGTGTAAAAACAAACAAACAAAAACAAAACAAAACAAAACAAAACAAAAAAAAAAACAAAAAAAAAACAATGAAATAAAAATTATCCAGCCACATTCCCACAACTTTAGCACCAATCATTACCAATAACCTGATCAATAATTCCAAATTCTATCACTAAACGGTTCGTTGCTATGACGCCAGTTTTTCAGAAAATCTATTTGTTGCTTAGTAAATAAACTCTTCTTTGTTGCTTTTGTAATAAGTGATTTATTGTGTTCTCTTGAGGCAATGAACTCGACAAGTTGTGACTGAACGAGTCTATTTAGATAATGTCGAGAATAATGGCGGACAGATGTATTTCCGGTTTTGTTTTCTTAAAGGGCTAGTTTCGGTGATGTTGTTTATCATGATTTCAGACGCATTGATATTTTGCAACACGATATCGATTTGGGGTCATTTCAGATCATTTATACTATTGGCGCGACTTGGTGGAAATATCGGTAGCTTATTTAATTTTGCCGCCCGGACCGTTTGTTTTATTATTCATATTTTCTCAGATCCGTGACTCTCTCTCTCTCTCTCTCTCTCTCTCTCTCTCTATCGCGCTCTCCCACAGACACAGACACACACATACTCACACGGAAGAATATATATAATAATAATAATAATAATAATAATAATGATAAAAAGGCTTAAACATTAATATTCCATGGTCATAATTTATTCCATTGGAATCGTAAATACGATCCAATTCATCAGACCTATGAATTGGATCGTATTTACGATTCGAATGGAATAAATTATGACCATGGAATATTAGTGTTTAAGCCTTTTTATTATATCCTTACTCTGTCCTGGACATTGAGTTCTACCTGGATTCTATCCTCTTGGATTTATTTTTTATACAAATATGTATGTATGTATGTATGTATGTATGTATGTATATATATTTATATATTTTAGATATATGATTGCATATGTATGTGTATATTTACCACTAATATTATCTATCTATCTATCTATCTATCTATCTATCTATCTATCTATCTATCTATCTATCTATATTGAGGTAGATAGATAGAGAGAAAGAGAATGTGTGTGGAAAGTATTCCCATACACGCAGATATACACGCTGAGGAAAACAGACAGAGATAAAAACAAAGACTAAATAAATATACAGGGTGTAACGGGTAAATTGTCGCCATTTTATATTTTTAATTTTGCGCATGCGCGTTGTTTGTTTTTGATTGTGTCGACTGCACAATATAATAGGGTCAGTTGGGCACCGTCTGCAAGAAAAAAAGAGCACCATGATGCAATTCACTCTGACAGAAATTTGGAAATTGCATACTCTACCGCTTGGCATTCCCGTGGGAACCTCCAATACGAACATTTCAGAGTGTTTGGGTATCAATCTGAGGACAGTGCAGGGGATTCAGAAAGAGTTGCATGAGTCTAATGTTGATTACGAAGGTGTGTGTGAAATGGTTACTAGTGATGGCAACGTTATGCATCCATTCATCTTCCCACAGGGCCTCAGTCACAACAAGAAAAACTACATTGAATGCCATGAGGAGGTAGTGTTACCCTGAGTCAAGAGGGTGGCCGCTGGAAGACCCCATATCTGGCAACAGCACTCTGCATCATGACATACAAGCAGGAAAACCCAGTCATAGCTGTCAGATAATTTCTGCGACCACATCAACCCTTACATCTGGCCCCCTAACTCCCAAGATTGCAACCCTTTGTCGGGCGCAGTTGAGCGAGAGACCCCCAAAACTCCTTGTAACACCAAAGATAAACTGAAGGCAAGGAGACCGTCCAGAAGAGTTGCAGGAGATTCCGAAGTTGTCTGGAGGCTGTGGTTGAAGCCAATGGCGATTTTATTGGATAAATTTACTCTTTAGTATTTAAAGATATGTTTCTGTAATTTTGATAAATATGTCTGTTAAAATGAGATGTCAGTGTTATTTTCATTTTTGCGTAATTTAGATGACAATTTATCAATCCTGCCCTGGACAGGCACAGAGAAAAAACACACGAAAACACACGCCAATACGCGGAGACAAACGCACTTAAATGCATACATATGGAGAAACAGACACGGAGAAAGAGAGAGAGAGAGAGAGGCGGGGAGCAATAAACACATACACTCACAAACACGCATGCACACACACACACACACACACAGAAGCGCACACTTACACAGAGAAAAGTCAGCCACAGTAGAACGCACACAATGCACATAGAGAAAAATACAAAGACCGAGAAAAGCATACATCACAACACACATCGACGTATGGAGAGAAAAGCACACAGATAAAAACGCACATATCCCTCCCCCCCACAAATCAAATTCAGTTTTGAAAAAAAAAATGTTTTTATTTGTGATTCGTCATTTCTCACTATTATTATTGCTTTTTGATCAAATCAGAACGAACTTTTTCGAGTCAATGAATTCCAAACATGGGATCTGTCTATTGCTGGACCATTGTTAAATACCAGCAAACGTAAATGAACCCAGAAAAGTGCTCCCGACATAAACATAGATTTAATATAATTTATGTAATATATTATTTTATTATTACAAGTGAATAGTCTAGCTACTGTTTTTTTTAATTAATTGTATTAAAAATAGTTTATAAGATTCATAAAATATAATAAATATTTTCTAATATGACGCTAAAATAAACATCGAAAGATGTTGAATTTATAGTTCTTCGATTCAGTTTCAACACGCAGTTATTTTTTTAATACATTCGGTTATTTTTTTTAATATTTCCGGTTATTTTTTAATACATTCGGTTATTTATTTTAATACATTCGGTTATTTTTAAATACATTCGGTTATTTTTTTAATATTTCCGGTTATTTTTTAACATTTCCGGTTATTTTTTAATACATTCGGTTATTTTTTAATACATTCGGTTATTTTTTTAAAATATTTTCGGTTATTTTTTAATGCATTCGGTTATTTTTTAATACATTCGGCTATTTTTTTTTAATACGGTCAGTTATTTTTTTTTTTATACATTATACGTCGGTTGATATATATTCGGTCAATGAATGACAAATGTTTTTTTTGTATGGAAACAGTTAATCTCATCCTTACCAGCATCATTGCAAGAGTGCTTTCGTCCGTTTCCGAGAGAAGTTTCAACCTTCACTTTTATATATGGTGCAAATCAGCCTCTTCTCCTCCCAGCTATGGGTTAATTAGTAGAACTTGTATGAATAAATCCTTATTAACTCAAAAATTTATTATAAAAGTAAAAATATTTTATCAATTTAACTAACTTCTAAAAGGTTGATAAGCCGTAAAAAATCAATCATTCAATCATTTATTACCTCTGGTGACCTACGCACGAAAGGTGTTTAATATATTTTTAGAAATCCTAATCATTCTCGGTATTTTAATGCTTTAAATACCTTTATTAATTAAGACGTACGTTGAATCGCCGGTTCTCGTACGGTAATCAAAGTTAAACAACGTCGAGCCTGTTCAGTATCTAGATGGGTGTCCGCTTGGGAATACCAGGTGCTGTAATGGCTTGGATGAGTGGGTGGTGTGATACCGACACAAAATTGGAAATTGGGGAGCCGAGTTTCAATTCCAGTCGAATTCATTATATTCACTTACTCGCAAATATCGTTGGAATAGGTTAGAATCTACTTCTTCTTCTCCCCAGCTATGGGTTAATTAGTAGATCTTGTATGGCTAAATCATTATTATCTAAAAAAAACTCATAAAAATATAAATATTTTATGAATTTAAATAACTTGCAAAAGGTTGATAAGCCGTAAAAAATAGATCAATCAATCATTTATTAATTCTGGTGACTTACGCCAGGTTAAGAACAGACTGTTTCTCTTCTTCAATTTAAGTAATTAAAAGTCACGGCATCCTTCTTTCAGGATTTAAACTTGAACTGGCAAAATTTTTAAGACGTGCTTTAATTAATGTCATTAGAAAAAAAAAAAAAAAAAAAAAAAAAACCGTAAAGAAAATGTCTATTTTTTTAAAAAAAATTATTTGACTTTTTTTATTGCTCATTCAATGTCCCGGATGCTTCTTGACTCTTGATCACTCAAAAACTAAATTCAATTCTCGACTTTTATCGCGTTTTCATGTGCGTTCTTGTCCTTGTCAGCTGTATTGACATGACGAAGGGGAAAATTGTTTGCTCAAAGCAAATTAAAAAAGTAGAGAAGTTAAAAAAAAAAAAAATGATAATTTACGGTAAGTAATTATTTTGCAATCTTAGCAGTCAATCCATAATTTATTGGAGAAAGCTGTTCCTAGTCTTATAATTGCCACCATTTTCTGTGATTAAAATATCTTCGTTTGCCTCCTCCATCGTGAACAACATCCCTGTAGTTAAGGCAATTATAATTTAAACATACACTACACCTTCTTCTTCATATTCGTCTTGCTATTTGTTCTTTTATCTTTCAATACTTCTTAAATCATTTTTATTCGTTATGACCCTCAAATGCAATTTCTTTTTAGTTATCTCTTCCAATTTTCTGTCTTTTTCCGTTTCTATTTTCTTTACACGGTCTTTAGATATTTGATCAATTTTTTTTTTTATTCTTCTATTCTACATAACTTTGGTTTTCTTTCATTCTTTTCTTAATTTAGTCTTTTCTTTCATTTAATTCATTTTGGCTTTTCTTTCTATTATTAGTTCTTTACATTTTTTTTCCTTAAGTATTCTCATCCGATGCAATTTTCCGACAATCCTTTTTATTTCTTTGCCATTTAAGTGCTGTTCATTTGGTTATTGTTTTATTTCTGTTCTTGCCTGATCCTCTTCTTTACTTCCACTACGTAGCCTTAGAGTTTGAAGCGAATCCCTCATTTATTGCAAGATTATGGCGACTCCAAGACTCGATTCCGAAAGTGATGTGTAATTTTCCAAGAAAAAATGGCGGAAGAAGACATTAAAGAAAGAGACAGAAACGGAAAAGAAAAAGGGAGATTCTGAAGAATTTTATAAAAAAAAATGAAGGAAAACAGAATAGTTTTGAAGAAGAAGAAGAAGGACGAAGAGGAAGAGAAGAAGAAGAAGAAGAAGAAGAAGAAGCTAAAGAGGAAAAAATATAGAAAGAAATGAGAAAAACTTTCAAGACAGTAAAAATATTCTGACCTCTATCTATAAAAGGCAGGATGTGTGTGTGTGTGTGTGTGTAACGAACGCACAGCCGCAATTTTCGACGGATTTGCACCAAAATTTACATGCACATGCTCCAAGTTAGTGGGAAGGCCAAGGCCGACTTTGCATTTCCCAACTCCCATCGATATTGGAAATAATCGATTTTTCATGCTTCTACGGCAGTTTTCATGTAGTTTGCGGCCATTTTGTATTGGCCAGTATGAGAACCAATAGCTGGCTGCCACGAATAGGCAGGAAGATTCTATTGGCCGGCGTGACAGCCAACAGCTGACTGACACGAATGTTAACTAGCATGCTAGCATGCAAAAAAATCGATAGCTGCACTCGTCACAAGTGGGAAAAATTTAAATCTGCATGGCACTTTACTTTAAAGTATTTGTTGTTAACATTCTTTTTTCATTCAGTTTTTCCAGTTACGAGTCTTTTTTAAAGCTGATCGTTTTGTGTTCATTTTGTTTAGTTCTTTTTTCGTAACAGATTTAATGTTTAGCTTAGAAAAAATTCGCAGTGTGAGATAGGCAAGAAGTAAGGCATGTAGCAACATCAGCCTTGCAAAGGGCACTCCTTTAAAGGCAAGGAAGGGCAAAAATATTTTAAGTCAAGTGATAGCGATTGCTGTATGAGTCGTACGATTTTTGAATCAAGCACGGGCAACGCCGGGCCATGCTGTTAGTAAAGAAATAAAAAGAGAATCTCTAGAAAATAAATAGAAAACCTATAAACGTAAAGACATTGCTTGAAGAAGCTAAGGAAACTTATACCTAATATCAGGAAGAGGCATTTGAAATTTCTGGAGCAGGTAATGAGGAAGGAGAGCTTGGAAAAGGTGATACTCACAGGACAGATTAAGTTAAAAGAGAGACAGAGGAAAGCAGCAACGTAACATACTTGATGGGCTTGAGTAAATGGATGATAGGGCAGGGTTTAGGAGAAATAACAGAAAGTCAAAACTTATTAAGAGCTACAAAGGACAGGAAGATGTGGAGGGCCATGGTCGCCTATGTATTGAATGGATACCGCGCATAAAAGAAGAAAACTGAGAAGTAGACGAAGAAGAAGGAAGAAGCGAATGTATTGCGGAGGGGAATAATAATAATAATAATAATATGGTGATGATGATGATGATGATGATGAAGAAGAAGAAGAAGAAGAAGAAGCTGAAGATTTAACGAAAGAAAATCCCAAGGAAGGAGAAAAAGAAAACTCAATGCAAAGAAGATTCTCTAATGATGAAGACTAATGAAGAAGGAGAGTCTAAAGAATGAGGAGGAGGAGGAGGAGGAGAAGACGTTAAAGAAGAAAAAGAAGAAAAGATTAAAGAAGTATAAAACTCATAAAAAGAAGACGAATCTAAAGCAGCAGTAACAGAAGAAGAAGAAAAAGAAGAAACAGAAGAAGAAACAAAAGAAGAAAAAGGAGGCTCCTAGAGGAGAAGAAGACTTTAAAGAAGAAGTAGAAAAAGACGAAGAGACAAAGATCAGTGTAAAGAAGAAGAAATAGAAGGAGAAACAACGCTAAAGAGTTAGAAGACTCTAAAAAGAGAAGAGAAAGAAGAATCTGAAGAAGAAGAAGGAGAAAAAAGAAAGAGATTTTAAAGAAGAAGTCTCTAAAGAAGAAGCTAGAGAAGAAGACCTTAAAGAGAAAGAAGAAAAATAGGAAGAAAGAGGACGCTGAAGAAAATGTGGAGGTAGAGATCTTAAAAGAAGAATACGAAGAAAACCTTCACGAAAAATGATGGGAATAAAGAAAACCAGTGAAGAAGACGGCGAAGAAAAGACTAAAGAAGAAGAAGAGGAGAAAAAGACAGCATTAAATAAGAACACCGAAAGAAGAAGAAGAAGAAGAAGAAGAAGAAGAAGAAGAAGAAATAAAAGATGAAGAGGAAAATCGAAAAGAAAGAGTAGGCTTTAAAGAAGAACACACTAAGAAAGGAGAGACTGAGACAAACAAGGAAGACCCTCTCAAGAAGAAGAAGAAGACTCTAAAATAGATTTTAAAGGAGGAGAAGAAGGCTGTAAAAAAGAAGATCCCAAAGAAGTTGGGGAAAATGATTTCTAAACTGATTTGAAAGGAGACGACTTTAAAGGAGAAGAGAAAAAAAAGACTGTAAAAAGAGAAGCCGAAGAAGTTTCCAAAGATGAAGAAAATTCGAAAAGAAGAAGAAGAAGAACAAGAAAAAGATGATGATGATGATGATGATGATGAAGAAAAAGAAGAAGAACTCTAAAGAATGGCAAGTTAATTCTAAATAAGAAAATTCTAAAGAAGTCAAAAGCACTGAAGAATAAAAACCATAATTCTAAAGAAACGGTATTATCTGTGGAAGAAAAAAAATCAAAAACAAAAGAAGAATGATTGTACACTCAATGAACAACTGGCATTGTTTCTCGGTAAGAAATAGAGAAGAGAACATTAAGTTATGTAAGCTCTAAGCAAGACACAATATCTAAAAAATTCCACAAAAATTCCAGAAAAATTCTCCGAATTTAAACACACCGAACAAACTATTTGAATCCGCCAGTTGGCGAACATGCAAACAAGAGATGCTAAACACAAAATAAATGCAACTCCGCGTGAGCAAAGACAACTCCCGTTTGGGGATCTATTGGAACTCAGCATTTTTTTAAAGTCACGATTTTTATCAAATGGATTTTGAAATAGTATTCGATTTGATGAATAGGCAATAAAATTTTGGAAGAGTTTTGTGACATGTGCTGCTGCTGTTGTGGAAACAGGTGACGCACGAAGACAACAGCCATTAACCGCACAGAACTGCAATATCAGTGCACGCATGTCTATATGCGTGGCAAGGACGAAACTAATCTTTTATAGGGTGATTTCTATGGGTGCAACTTTCTCTTTTGTGCGTTATCACAATTCGAACGAATTTATCTCGGCATCGCTGACTTTGCTGCCATATTTCTTTCGCAATCCGATGAACGCACTTCAATTTACCTCTTGCGAAGCTAAATAAAATGGATGACTTTAGATTCGTTTTGGAAATTATAAGTAGACTATTCATTAGTCAAAGAGAGTATAAGATTTTTAAGCATCTCGACAATTTCCTGCAAGAGGTAGCCTTCACCAATCAAAAATCGGATAATGTATTGGTTCCAGAATTCTATTCAGTCAGGAAAAATCTGTTCGTAATATTTTTATTTTTTTTTACAGTTGACCACCCAATGCAAGACCCAAGAGATACTCAAGGTTGTCAATTCAGGGTCTTTCTCTGAACGTGGATCATCTCACGATGTGGTAGACTTCCTGCCCTTTCCTTCTCGGGTGGGGCGCTTATATAACTTCATGTCATCCGGTTGTCCCATGTTAGCACATCTTAAGCTCGGCCACCTGTTTACATGACTGTTAAACCCTGATATTCTGTAAAACCCGATTATGCACCTGGTGACTATGAGGCTACCTTAGAGGTCAGCCTTATAATGCACCAAGGTCTTCAATGTGCCAGTGTGACACCGAATGCAAAGTGTAGGCTGGTATATCTTAGAAGGAGCCCAGTATATTTTTCGAATTACAACAGATCAACTTCTTTTAGAACGAAGGTTTTTTTTTATTAACATTAAATTCTATCCAGACCATCTCGTATTTGCTGGCTTAAGTCACATACTACAGTATTAAAGGCACTGGACACTGGCATTCGGTTGGAAGACCGACACTTGCTACTAGTGCGAAAACCCAAGTGAGAATAATATTAATTTTGCATCTCGACTTCAGTCACTTTCTCACCGGCGTGACGTGTGGTTTCTCTCTGTTTTTTCTACAAATATTTTCACGGCAATTGTTCTGATGACTTTTGTTCCTTGATGTCCCGACAACAACGTGAATTTAAGCGTGCGACTAGATTGGCATATAGGACCCACCTGTTTACTGTTGAAATAGTTAAATACAACTACCACTTCTACTCTAGATTTTTTTTCTCGTACTTCTCGCCTGTGGAACCTTAAAAAATTTTAATGCAACGCCAATCGTGATCTTCTGTCTTCTTTAATTCCGTTCATCTATTATCCATTCCTCAATCTTCTCTATACTCAGTGTTCTCTTTCACTTTCACTCCCTGTAAGCCTTTTTGTATTAGTGGCATTCCCCTGCCTTGCTTGGGGTGAAATGATTCAAAACAAACACGAGAAAAAATGCTACTATGTACAGGGAAGACATTTCCGAGAAGCCATGCTGAGTTTTTTTTTTTTCTTTTTTTTTGCGCGGAAGACAGAAATCACAGGCGTCGGGGAAATCTCGTCAAATCTCGTTGGATATTTTTCCTGGATGCAGATTTGTGGTATTACTAATACTTTTATAATAAGATATATTATATTAAAGTATTTCTAATACTGTTATATTAAAGTATATTATATTAAAGTATTTCTAATACTTTTATATTAAAGTATATTATATTAAAGAATTTCTAATACTGTTATATTATATCGCCTGCCAAAATAGGCTATTCCCTATATGAGGTAATCTTGGATTTTATTGCTTATATATATATTTATATATAGTAATCCGTTAGTATAATCTACGCGTGTTCTATTAAAACAATATAGAATTTTAATTATAAATATTAAATGTTAAAACTGACTCACAGAGAGCGCTCAATGTTTAATTTCATTAAACAGAGCAAAAATTTTCGTACAATTGGAATTAAGATACCATTAGTTAATGATCATTTTCACCCGCGAATTTTAATTTATATATATATATATATATATATATATATATATATATATATATATATGTGTGTGTGTGTGTGTGTGTGTGTGTAAGCTTATGTTGAAACATCGTCTACCGTACGATCACCGACGTTAAAAAAGGTCGAGCCTGGTCAGTACGCTTGGGAATATCAGATGCTGTAAGTTTTGATGTGCCGGTGGTGTAATGGATAATGGCTCGGAATTGTTAATCGGAGAGCTGAGTTTCAATTCTCATTGGTTTCGTTATATTCACTTACGTGCAAATACCCTCGAGAAAGTTATATGAATCCACCACTATGGGTTAATCACTTGTATCCCTAAATCATTAT